ATCGTTTGTATTTATATCTGCAGCACCCAAGCAGAACTAGGAAGAGAAAAACATGTACTTCAAGACCGAGTTCCAGGAACTGTTCTGTGCAGGTTCAACCTCAGGCCAACCAAGAATGTGCCTTGCCATATCCTGTTGACTGTTCTAACTTCTGCACCAGACAGCCCTGAATAGTCAGCTCCCAAAATTTCCCTTCTTGCTTACCTTCTTGTATACCCCTACTTTCTCCTTATTAAAGTCTAAGAACCATTGATGGCCAATGTTTGTTTCTCTTTTGGGACAATGTTCTGACCTTTGTAACTTCTTTTTTTATTACAGGAATATTTGTTAACAACACTGTTTTTGCCTCTTATCTCCTTTATCTCCTTTTTAATTCATCGTGTATCAAGAGCCAAGAAAAGTGCCCGACACATACCAGGTAATGAGTAAAATTTGTTATTTTGGTGAATGTATGATTGAGCAAATGGATATATGAAAGAAATGTGGTTTGGGCACAAGGTAATAACAGGGCTTGCAAAACAACAAACAGAAAAATGTGCTACTTGTTTGAATGCAGTGAAAAGTACAGGCAATTTTCACTGTGAACATGTGCGTATGTTGACCACAGATCTAAAGTGATGGCTGCATGTCTAAAGTTAATGTGTTTCTGCGAGCTGCTTTTCAAATCAGCAAAGTCTAAAATATTGCTGAAGAAGATCAGATTTTATAACAATACCATTCTCTCACACTAGCTTAGTAATGGTATAAGAGGGGAAGGATGAAGGACGGACAAAGGGATGGACACAACTAAAATGATGTGAAAACATAAAACACCTAAGAAGTAAAACTTCCAGATAAAAACAGCACAAAGAGCAAACTACTTAGGCTATTACTTCAGGAACAGAGTTAAAATTTTCTTTTTAAGTTTTAAAATTCTTGTTTATCTTACAAAAATGTTGCGAAATCAAGTATTTAATATGTAAAGAGCATCCCTTGTGAAGCACATCAAATCCTGGTACATATCCTGTTAGACTGATTTGATTTAGTGGTTAAATAGTAAGGTATTATTAGTTGCTGTTATTACTATTTCGGGCTAATTAGTATTTAAGGCATCAAGATGAAATGACCATTGATTTTATGAAATAACCTGCTATCTAAAGCCCTTCAGGACAACAGGGTCCCTTTTGACTCAAGCTCATCAAAGCTGAGAAGCACTTCTCAGAGTAGCTGGTAAGAAAGAATGAGGGGAGCATGGAAGTCTGTGTCCCAGGAGAGGCATACCATCAAGGGATAAAAACGTCAACAGCTACAACCAGAAACGGTGGGATTTCAGGGGCTGATTCAGCAAAAGCTGAACCAGAGTCACAAGCAAGACTAGAATTCTCCACCAAAATTTTAGAGGGGAAATTTTCCCCTCAAAGGGGCCAGGATTTTTGTAAAAAGTTTTCCCCATTTGTACTAATATAGAAAAACCATTAATTATTATAATGCACTAGTCAATTAGCATGAAACATTCTACTAATGTAGCAAATCAACTTCCCACCCTACTTATTCAGAACTGAGAAACTGCCTTTAAGAAGACCGGATTGTCTGCTGACCACCACTTGACAATGAGTCTACTTAAAGGTATTTCTATATATTTCTTACAGAGGACAGAAACATTTCATGTTCTGTGTCTTAAATTTTTAAGTGAGATCTATACCTCTTTCAATTCCTCACCTTAAGAATAAAAACAAATTAATTTTATTTTATTGGTATAATATCAATGATTCTCATGCATTTAAAATATTTCCTTCATAAAACACAAGACTGGTTAGATATGGCATATTTCCCATTTTCTGAGCGATGAAAACATTCTATTAGTAATAGCATCATAAATAATATTTAATATGTCTCAATCAATATATTTCACCTTAATAAAATTAATATATTGTCAATAATGAAGATATCCTTATAAGCTATAAGGTATCCTTATAAGATATACTTGGTATGTATGATTAATCAATTTCAATAGTAATTCATTTAACCAGGACCCTTTAGGAAATATTGATCTAACAGGAATTTATTAAGGTTTAAATTGGTTGATTTCATGACATAAAATGGAAATTACTCCTCAGACTGTAACAGTTTACTTTATTTCCTCTTTTTCTACTTTACCTTCAAATAAATGGTTAGAAATATAAAGTTGATTAACATGCCAGGTTGTTATTAAAGCAATTTTCTGATCTATCAATGATTCTGGATTCCACATTATTTATAGCTCCAATTTTGTATATAGTGATTATGTCTAGGGCCAATGATATTTTCTGATTTCTCAAAACTAAAGAATTTAAGACAATGTAATAGTATTTTCACTTATCTACACTGACTATTTAATAGCTAAAGCTATGGCTATGTGTGTGAAGTATCAGAAAGATTTAGAATGGGAAAATGGGGGGAATGTGGAGCAGCTAATATCCTGAGACAGCTTTCTGAGAACACCAAAATGGAGCAAAAAACATAAAGATGTTCAATGTTTCTTTTAGTGTGTATGTAAGTGTAATGCCTGTAGAGTCAAAAGAGGGCATCAGATCCCCTGGAACTATAGTTATGGATGGTTGTTAGCTGTCATATGGGTGCTAGGAACTGAACCCAGGCCCTCTGGAAGAGCAGCCAGTGCTCTTAACCACTGAGCTATCTTCCAGCCCCAAGATGTTCAGCTTTTAACCCATCTTCTCACACTTGAGCCCAAGACTGAAAAAATGAGAAGTTGAAAGCTGATGTATGCCCATCAGCACTCTCCATATAAGAAATAATAGAAGACCGGGAGTGGGGATGCTACCCTAGTCTACACAGCAAGTTCCAGGCCATCCAGGGCTACATAGCACAACCCTATGTCAAAAAACAAAACAAACAAGCAAAAAATAATGAACAAGAGGGGAAAGAATTATTAATGTGACAAAAACATCTGAAATGAAAATAAAAACGATAGACTAGAGATGGTTCAGTGGTTAAGATGTGTATGCTCTTTCAGAAGACTCAAGTTCAGTTCCCAGCACACACAGTAAATGGCTTATAACTTCAGCTCTAGGAGATCCAACACCCTCTTCTGGACTCTACAGGCACCTGCACACACATGCACATTCACACACAGACATACACATACACACTTAATTTAAAATATCATAAAAATAAATATTAAAAAATAAAACACAATAACCTTAAAAGTAAAAAATGAGTAGGTAGCAACATGAAAAAAATCTGTGATATATCAATGGCTTCTACAATGTAATGATAATAACATACATACATATTCATGGATACAAGGACCAGACAGTCATTCAAAGATGAAAATAGTTCTTGCTAGTTTTTATTAATTACTAATAATAGTTTTTATTTTTAAATATTTTATTATTTTTATTTTATATGTCTGAGTGTATTGCCTGCATGTATATGAGTGCACCATGTCATGATATGCCACAGAGATCAGAAGAAGGCATCGGATTCTCCTGGAATTGGAGTTAACCACAGAGCCATCACTCCAGCCAAAGTTTTCAATATTTTTATATGCTACCTTTTATTTAAATGCAACAGGAGCTATTTATGAAAACTAACAGTTGTTTTCTAAGTTCTAATAAACAGTGCTACTAAATCTATTTGGAAAGTTTGATTTTTTTACGGGCTTTATCCACATTAGATGCCCAATAAATCCTAAATAATCACCACCTTGATGAATCACAGAAGACTTCAGGAACTTTCCAAAACAGTCTTTAAAAATAGGGAGTTAGGAAGGTAAAACTACCTAGAAGAGTAATTACTTGTGTGTGTGTGTGTGTGTGTGTGTGTGTGTGTGTCTGCCTGTCTACTGGCTACTGTGTCATTTTAAATTACTACCATTACTGATTTCCTCAAAAATGCTTAGAACATTAAATATACCACATATTTTAATCCCAATCAGTAAGCTCGTTGAATAAATCAGTTAAGAAAAGAATTAGAGATCCAAAAGCTGAGATTTCCAAAAGGAATTAAGGTAAATTTGAAGTTGTTTTTTTTTTTTTTTTTAAAAAAAAACCTATTGCAAAGATGACAAAATCAGGCTAGGTGGAGGCAAGAAGATAACAGGATCACAAGCTGAGTGTAAGCAATACGAGGTGGTAGTGTAGAGCCCACCCTGTCTAACAGTACAGCTGACATGCGTGAATGCAGACTCAACTAGGGCTGCCACATATCCAAAATCTTTCAAAAGAGGCCAGAAATACAGATGTTCACACGAAATTTCCAAATTTGTAGTCACTAATGATTAACTAAAATTCATTTTAATTTTTTATTCCCTGTAACAGACAATAGCTGCCCTCGTGCTTATTTTGTTTCATGAATTTTCTGTTTGTCACCTCTGAGCTATGCAGGAACTTCACAAAGGATGGTCTTTATGTACCAGAAGAGGCAGGAACCACATTTTGATTTAGGTTTTTCATATGGAAAAGGAAAGTAGAGGAACAAAATAGTGACATTAAAGTAAACTTGGCATACGAGTAAGCATCAATCAACAAGTGCTACAAACTATGAGAACATGAGCCAAAAACCTAAAGGTTTGGAGGAGCAGAATTGTCAGGGAATTCAGACATTCTAAGTCACTACAAAAGGAATAATAAACATGGCTCTCTTTGCTGAAATTACCTTAAAAATGCTAGGAGAAAACAAAAACTAGTCAAGATGAGAGAGCCATGAACCACAGAACTGTAGACAGGATCCAAGTGTGCCCTGTATTGCTCCTGCTGTTCACTTTCTTTACCCTATCCCATTCCTTCCAACCCTCTTTTCCCTTCCTGGGCTGTTGAAAGGAAACCGCTAGAGACTTCTAAGACATGATTGAGATCTAGATGTGGAAAGGAGAAAACAGGAAGGTAAATGTAAAAGAGGTTTCACGTCAGTGGCAAAAGCCCCATGTCATCATAGTCCAACTACAGACTGAGTGAAAGAAGGGAAGGGCTGTTTACGTAACTGTCATTTGCATCACATGCACCCAAGGAAAAAGTGTTTACCTGGTGGAGCCACGGTTAACCTTTTTTCCTTGCTGAGCCGATGCCCTTGGATGAGTTCACTCATGGAAGGGGGACCCTTCAGAAGAAATGATTCTGTGGAGGTGGGATCGGGGGGAACTCTTAATAAATTCTGTAGGTAGGAAGCCCCTGAAGTCCTGGGACGGCTCTGATCACAAAGGGAAGGTGAAAATTGTCTTGCAGGAGATCCAAGAAAAATACATATAGGAAACAAAAAAGTTTTACTTTAATTACCTTTCAACACCTCACCATGGACAACATTATTTATATTGGCATTTAACTGTTTTTTAAATATGTAAATCAAGATTTTTGGTAATTTTTTAGTTTCCACATCAGGGTACAACCCTTTTGGAAACTATTTTGGATACTGGAAAAGAGGTTTATTATAGTTAGTCAGTTGAACCACAAATAGAAATAATATATGTATTATTTGACTCTTAAATGAAAGCTCCTTAAATGAACAATTTTAACTACATTAACTGTAAACACAGGGCAAGTAACTTGACAATCAGAACTTAGTAAGAGGTCGCAAAATCAAGCCACTATAAACCTTGCAAGTGGTTTTTATGAGCTATATTCACATAACTAATAAATAAATGCATAAAAACTTATGTTTAAGGAAAAAAAGCATACATATTCCATCTCGTTTTATCTAAAAGGATTTTCAGTTAGTCACCAGTTTTTTGGTCTTATGGACAAAAGTTCCCCCACAAGAGCATACTCATATCCTTGCTCCATGACAGCAAAGCTGATTAATAGCATTGTTTCTAGAGATGTGACTTTTTAAATTATAGCCCATGTTGACAGAGCTTCATTTTTAATATTCACTTTTATCCATTTTAGGTTGGAAGCAAGGGAGGCATATTTATGCACAGAAACAGCAGCAAAAACATTAATAGACACTTGAAAATTACATTATGGTTAATCAATAGGTGGGGTGGGGTGGCAGAAAGACCAGCATTAGCAAGACCCATTAGCAGCTCTCTCTCTCTCTCTCTCTCTCTCTCTCTCTCTCTCTCTCTCTTTAAATTTTCCTTCCCATTCTCTATGCTCCACAACAAAAGCACATTAATTTTTGCAATCAACTGAAACCTGTCCACTGTACCACACTATGACAATCACTGCATGCATACCTTTTCCTCTGAGTGCCACTGCTGACCCGAATGGTGGGTGTCTGTGAGCCCTGACTATGCAGGAGGTAAGTGTCTATGGTGGGCACGGTGGCTGGTGCCTCCCCACTTACTTTAGGGCTGCCGATCTTGCTCTTTCCAAGTTTGCCTTTGCTGCGTCGGGACTGCTCATGGTCAAATTCTAAGTCCTCCAGCCGCTGTGTCAGGGCGAGCTTTTGCTGGATAGCCATTCGCAATAAAGTGTTTAGAGTCTTCTTCTCGTCCTCAGCAGCCGCTAACTGTCTCTGCATCTCATCCAACTGTGTGACATATTCATCACATCTGCAACCCAAACAAAAAGGGATTGGGAAGCAATCCTGATGAAGCTAAACTGAAACTTAATTTGAAAAGTGAAGCACTCCTGTTACCCTCAACCCAGATACCTGAGGCACACTGTAGTCTCAAAACTTTTATTGCACAATACTGTTATAATGGAGAACAATTTGATAACATAGTTTAAGTTTTATCAGAAGCATGTATGTATAAGGAAAACACAATAATCTATAGGATTTGATATCGATGGTTTCAGCATCCCTTGGGGGCCTTAGGATGTATCCCTCACAGATAAGGGGGACTATTATATTGAATATGACTAGAATTTAAAAACTTAGAACACCAATCTTCCTAGCAAAAGAATGGAGATAACCTATAATAGGAGACAATTGGAACTGGTAGAGTATGTTCAGCAATTTGTGGTTCAGCCTCACAAGTATTGCATCCATATAGGGACATACTAGATAAATAGCATGAACCCCAAGGGCAGTTGCCATGGAAGTTGGTTTGTGGTGATAACTTCATATAATAGCCATCACTACCTTAGGTATATTACAATGGCTGTCCCTATTGCATAGAATTGTATTCTCTGAAGAAATGTGACAGGTTTGTTATAGACAATACTTTTTAAAAAATATTTCATTTATTATTTTTATTTTATGTGTATACATGTATTGCCTGCATGTAGGTAAGTGCACCCATGTCATGCACTGCCCGCGGAAGACAGAAGAGGCTATCGGATCCCCTGGAACTGGAGTTATTGGCAGTTGTTAGCTGCCATGTGGGTTCTGGGATTCGAACCCAGGTCTTCTGCAAGAACAGCCAGTGTTTTTATCCACTGAGCCATCTCTCCAGCCCCATAGACATACTTACAGCAGCTAAAGGAATGAAAAGGTAAGTAAAGAGAACATTTCCTTCTTTATCTGTATTTGCAGATTTTATTTTAGTACTAATTGCAGCTGACACTGTTTTCAATATAGTAGATCTGCCTGAGTTAAAAAACAAAATTTTTAATGATTTTTCAACCAAATGACAAAGTAATGAGTTGCTGAAGAAAACCAGGATTTTCAGAGCTTCATACAGATACAGCGGGCCATCAGGAACATCTTAAGTTTCATATTTGTGCTGAAGCACAAACATAAGCTCTGTGATGTTTCCCCACTGAAAGTGGGACCTGAGCCCATCCACATAATTTGGAAAAAGTAAGGTGAGAGGAAGCTCACTCTGAATTTTTGCTGCTTTTAAGGTATTAGTAACAATTATTCTTCATGTACTAGCAGATAGCTAATGAACTCATATTGTTACCAAAATAAGTTATACAAACCTTGAAATTGGCACAAGTCTGAGGTATTATAAAGAAAAAAAAAACAAACAAAAAAAAATGGGTTCTGTGGTGAAAGTGCGTTAGGAGTGTCCCTTTTCTTTAACTTTCAATATCAAGATTGTAGGGCAGGTCTGGAGAGCTGGCTCAGCAGTTAAGAACACTGGCTGCTCTTGAAGAGGACCAGGGTTCAGTTCCCAGCACTCACATGGTGAAACTGTGTAGTGACAGGTACAGATACAACTAATATTTGTGTTTAATTAGTTGGGCAATGTGAAAAATCTGGTGGTGTCCATAAATACAAATTAGATTTAAGAGAAATGTAATTTAATTCATGATGTGCTAAAGATTTGATGATATCTTCATTATGAAGGTATCTTATCACACAATACTAATGGTAAACACCTTTATATTATTTATGCACTTGGGTCATAGAAATAATTTCAGTGGAGATAATATAGTGTTTGACTCCTGAAAGTCCTTAAAAATTTTTTTGGGGTGCTAGGGCTTGAACTCAGTGCCTCACGCATGCTGAGTAAGTGCTCTAACCCTGAGCCACATCCCCATACCCTTTTAAAAATAAAATCTAATTCTTAGATGCATGTGCATGGGGATACGTACCTCAGTAGAAGAATGCCTGCTTAGCATGTAAGGTCCTGGGTTTACTATGCAGCATCACATATATACACACAAAAATTAATCCTTTTGAATACACGAACTCTAGATAAAGCTTTCTTTTTTAATTGAGTTTTTATAATTTTCATACAATATAGTTTGATATTTAGATCCCCTTCCCTATTTCTACTTCCTCCCACTGCCCCCATCCAATTTAATGTACTCATATATTTATAATGACATATAAATGACATATATTTATAATCACATATTTATAAAAAATGTACTCTCGTACATGTAATATGGCCTATACAATCCGATATGTGTCCCCAAATGTCCTCCAATGTAGGTCCATTCACTGGGCCCACCAAGATCCATCCCTGTAAGACACTGTCTCTCCCCCTTGTAGAAGCTTTCTTATATTAATTTAAGAATATTTTTATGTACTAGAGTTATGTGATACAGTGTGCCCATCAGCGGGCTCTAGAAACAAACACATATCTAGTATTTGATTTGTCAGTTAAGAATCTGATTCAGTCCTCTCTCTCCTTTTTGAGGCAGGATCTCACTATGTAGCCCTGTCATCATTTTTTTCATGCATACCAAATATACTCATGAGTGTTTAAGGTGTTCTTCCCATGTGCCATCTCCAGTTTTAGAAAGAAAATCAGTTACCTTGTTGCAAACATTGCTCTCAGGGATGAGAAGGTTGCAGCATCTTCTTTCAAAGCCTTCAACTCATTCCTTAGTTTTGTCATCGTTTCAGTCACCATTGCCTTTTCATTTTCATATTTGTTCTTCAGATTAGCTAGAGCCACCTCAGCTGTCTGAAGTAGAAAATCACAGTGCTCACCATCTCAAACCAGGAAAATCTGCCCTGCACATCTTTTATCCCAAGTCTCCTATTTCCTCCCATAAATGGAAACTGAAATTGATTGGGTCGGATTTTTGCAGAAGCTTATATACACACACTGAAAATAGGAATGGTTTTCTTTAATGTCAAACCATGTTGTGACCTGATAACATGTTAAACAGTCCTGGAAGCCTGCCATGAACCAGTCAGTATCTGAAGCCAAAGTAATGACAGTAGTGCAGTAAATACTTCATACAGACTGTTAAAGGTGCAAGTGTTGCAGACCTGTAGAGAACCAAAAATGAAACTTTATACATGAAGAATGTTATCAAGAATTTAGAAAAGAAGCACTGATTCCAAATGAAGTATGTCAGAAACCAATTATTTTTGTGTCATTAGATTTTTGTGTCACCTGCTCTGTAGATCTGAAATAAAATAAAAGAAATAGACCATTGTAACTTCTTATGACAAACTATATGCTCAAAACAAAGAAGTAACAAAGTATTTCCTAAGTCTTTGCATACAACTTGCTCAAAATGATGAAATGTGGTCAATTTTAATTCTTTGTGATCTCTCAAAAAAGGAGAGACTCCAAAATATTGAATGAATTAGAATATTTGTCAGAATTTTGAACTGGGGCATTTTTGAAGTTCCTGGAATTAATAGTGCTTTAAACAAGAGTCAGCCTGGCACAGTAGAAGGTAAAAAAAAAGCACAGACTGAATCAATGGATACCAACACCACAGCCAAAGTTTAGGAACTGCCTGTCTGGTGCACAGCACAAGATGGGAATGCTGGAGTCAAGCTAAAAGCATAGTATTTTTGTAAACTGTAAAACTATAGGCTTATAGAATGTGTAAAAATATCCAGTGCTCCTCTCTGCTCCTCCACATTCCAGAGACAACCACATTTTCTCATGCAGTGCCAGGCTTGTCCTGATACAAGATGGTAAAGGAATGAACCAATTTGTCCATATTGGGGGCCTGGTTACCAGGCCTGCCTTCAACTCTGGTAAAATGAACACTGTTGCCATCAGTGACCCCTTCATTGACCTCAACTACCTGGTCTACATGTTTTAGTAGGATTCCACCCACAGCAAATTCCACAGCACAGTCAAGGCTGAGAATGGGAAACATCATCCATGGGAAATTGATCTCCATCTTCCAAATAGGAGAGCCTGCCAACATCAAATGGGGTGATGGTGGTGCTGAGTATGTTGTGGAGCCTATTGGTGTCTTCACTACCATGGAGAAGGTTGGAGCCCACTTGATGGATGGAACCAAAAGGGTTATCTTCTCTGCCCCTTCTGTTGATGCCCCCATGTTTGTGATGGGCATGAACCTGAGAAGTATGACAACTTACTCAAGCGTGTCAGGAATGTCTCCTGAACCACCAACTGCTTAGACCTCCCAGTCAAGGTAATCCATGACAACTTCAGCATTGTTGAGGGATTCATGACCACAGTCCATGCCATCACAACCCAGAAGACTGTGGATGGCACCTCCAGGAAACTGGTCATGGGGTTGCCCAGAACATCATCCCTGCATCTTCTGGGGCTCCCAAGACTATGAATCAGGTCATCCCAGAGCCTAAAAGGAAAGTCACTGGAATGGCCTTCTGTGTTCCTACCCCCAATGTGCCATCATGGCTCTGACCTGCCTCCTGGAGAAAACTGCCAAATACGATGGCATCAAGAAAATGGTGAATCAGGTATCAGAGGGTCCTCTAACAGTCATCCTGGGCTACACAGAGGACCAGGTCATCTCCTGCAACTTTAACAGTGACACCCACTCTTCTACCTTTGCTGCTAGGGCTGGCATTGTCCTCAACAACCAATTTGACAAGCTCATTTCCTGGCATGACAATGAATTTGGCTATAGCAACAGGGTGGTGGACCTCATGGTTCACATGGCCTCCAAGGAGTAAGAAACCTGGACTCACCCCAGCAAGAGAAAGAGAGAACCCTCAGGTGGGGAGTTCCCACCCCAACACAGCCCCCAAAACACTGAGCAGCTCTCTTCAGAGTCTCCATCCCAGAACCTAGAAGAAGGGGAGGGGTTAAGGAGCCCTATTCTCTTGAATAGAAACAATAAAGTTCACCTCCCCCAAAACATATCCAATACTCATTAAAAAGTTAATAATGGGGGGGGGCCTGGAGAGATGGCTCAGCGCTTAAGAGCAGTGGCTGCTCTTGCAGAGGACATGGGTTTGATTCCCAGCATCCACCCACATGGTGGCTATGAATCACCCTTAACTCCAGTTCCAGGGAAATCTGAAGCCCTCTTTTGACCTCCACAGCATTGTATGGCACGGGTCCACTCACATACATGCAGGCAATACACTCATACACATACAATAAAAATAATAAAATATTTTTTAAAAGTTAATAATGGGATTTTTCCAGGAAGACTATAATAACTTTTATGCTATTTTGTGCTTTAAATGAATATCACTCAATTTTCTTATGCAAAGCACCAACTTATACAGAGTTACAGAGATACAAGGATTCTTTTTCAAATGAACCAAAATTAAGATGAGATAGTTTGTTAATGTTTTCATTCCGAAGTAGTTTCTTATTTATTTTGGTTTAATTTAAATTTAGATTAAAATGAGAAGTTACTCAAAATTTTTCTGTATGTGTTGTGGCATTACTATTCAGTGGAATCTATGATGCACAAATTGGGGAAATTATCAATTGTTCAGTTTTTGAAAGTTTAGACAAATGTTCATTTAGGACAGAAACTAAGTTCAAATTGTGAAGATGTAGATATAACAAATATGTAATCACATGATCAGTAGGTAAGGGGAGGAGTGAGAGGGGTAAATAGACAACTAAATCTCAAACAGAAGTGCAAGTTCATTTACCATTTGTGAGAAACAACTGAGGTTTGCTTATAGATTTGTCTGTCTACAGACTGCACAAAGCTTTTTAAATTTTTAAATATCTAAAACCCATTGAGTTTATTGACATCTGCATTCACCACATTCTCCAAACACTCTAAGGTTTACTTTCTAAATTAAAAAAAAAAAAAACCTTACAAAGCAGGCATGGTGTCACACACCTTTAATCCCAGAACTCAGGAGGCAGAGGCAGGCGGATCCTCTGTGAGTTCGAGGCCAGCTTGGTCTACAGAGTGAGTTCCAGGAAGCTGGAGCTACAGGAAGATCCTGTCTCAAAAAGACAAAAAAAAAAAAACAAAAAAAAAACAAAAACAAAAAGAAAAAAACTAACAATAACAAGCCCACTAACCCCTATTTTCAGATATAAGGATCTTCACAAGCATTTCATGAATGCTGTATCCTGTTTCTGACACTTTTGTCCCTCTCTACCTGCTGTTCTTCTGTCTGAAATTACTTCCTCTTCCCATAGGAAAATAACTTCTTATTAAGAACAAATTCAATTATAATAGCTTCTAAGAGGTTTTTCCCAATGCTTATAGGAAATGTCCGTTGTTCCTCTGCAATATTCCCATAACTTGCATTACAGCATTGTGTCCTGAGGGGTACTTTTTCCTCTGAGGGGCAGGGCCTGCTGCAGAGAATTGGCTGCAGAGATTTAGCTATGGAAAAGGAGCTGTGGAGAATTAGTCACAGAGGGAGGAGCATTGGTGCCATCTTGGCAGCAGCAGTGTGGAAAAAAATGGCCCTGGTATCTCTCCCACATGGACACGAGAGGGGGCGTTTACTGGCCTAGGGTGAGACTCTGGGCCCACGAGGCATGAGGCATGGGCAAAAGCTCAGGGAGACTGTGGGCAGAGTGCGGAAGTGATCTGGAATGGTGGGCCACCAGGTGTGGGGCGCCCGGGTGTTCACCTTTGTAAGTTACTCTATTTCCCCTACTCATGATATAAACTATGAAAAATTCATATAAAGATGTGTTATATGGTTTGTCTAATAGCGCCAGGAGCAAGGGACCTAAGAGAACTCGGGCAACAAGCATGTATAACATCATACTGTTTATTTGTTTGTATTCTGCCCACCTCAGTGGGTATGGGGTGCCCGTTCTGGAAGGCAGGGATCATGTGTTAGTCTTTGACTCTTCACATCTAGCACAATCAAGTACATAGCTGATGCTTTATAACAACTTCCTTATCCCATCAGAAGACATCATGCCTCTGAAAAGAATCCTAAATTACAATACAACATTAATAGAGAATACAGCGCGCCTATTTTAAAACAAGATAATTCCCTTTTTTCCTAAACCATGGATTTTTACATTAGCCTTATTAACATTCCATAATCTTTGCATCTAACTGATGTCACCTGTTTCTACTTGAAGTTATTAATGGCACATAAGTACTACAGCAATCAGCTCAGCATTAATCAAATGTATAACAAATGCATGGGTAGATATTTGTCACATAATTTACTGAACCACTGCAGGCTGTAGCTTGAATGTAATGCAAATAGTACCACAAAGCACTGTGAAAGTATACACTTAGCTAGGAATGCTTTGTTCTCCTCTGAATTCCTGTGGCATTGTTTATAGTCATTGAAATTACTTCAAATATTCTACCTTGCAAGTACAACTGTGTGTTGAATTCATACTACGGTAATAATGACTTATTTCTGTATCCTATTTACTACCTCCCCTGAATGCTTGCTCACAAAGTAATCTGTCTTGACTGATAAGCTACCCTTATCTTTTCAATTAAATATCTTCAGTTTTTTTTATAGATCAAGGTTGCTAGTAGTCAATCTTCAGGAAGAAGTCAGGAAACTTATCTGACAAAATACCTCAGAATATTATATCCTGGATAGAACTTATGTGAGTCTGATTTAATATATCTACTACTTATGACCATTCTAAACTGTTGGGTCTTTGAATTACGGCTGTTACAGAAACAATTTCCTTTTTACTGATCTCAAACTGAAGTCAGATGTCTCACAATTCCTTCATTCATCTTAACATTTTCTGCTTTCATAATGTGATGGCACAAGAAAGCCCTGTTTTACCCTTGGGTTTATATAAACCATTATCATTGCTTGTGGTATAGATAGGCAATTTGTATATCAGTGGATTCACGGGAACTAATGATAAATAGTGGAAAGTAGATGATAACAATAGTGGTGTGGTTTCACTGTGATTAGAGCAAAGGCAAAAGAGACTGAATAGGAAACTAATCTTCACTCTCTAGAAAGCATGCACCCCCATTCCTACTATTCACTGGCATTGCCAGTGTTTAGTGCATGGCTGCTTCTTTTCATCACACCAATATTTGTTTAGCACTCCTCTCAAATAGGTGTCTTTTGAAACTATCTTTTCAAATAAACAGTAGTATTTTCCTGTACTCCCACCCAAGCAAAACTTAAGAATGGGAAACAAATTCAGTCACCGAGGAATTAGTCAGGTAGGTCATGTTAAAGCATCCTACTTATTCCAGAGGGACATGACCTATAGCTAAGAAAAGTACCCTAATGCTTCAGTTCTGGTCGAAGTAAATTTGCAACTGAGTAAATCTAAAGTTTAGATATGTGGTCAGTGATGGAGCCAGAGTTTAGGATTTTGGTTGTTATATTATTGATTTTTTTCCCTCTTTCATACACAAGGTCACTAAAATATTGGTTCTAAAATATTTTACTTGTTGGCAAAACCTTCCTGGCTCTATTTCTATCATGCAGATCCCACAGCTGTATTGTCCTTCATCCATGAGACCATGACTTGATCATTTGGCTGTTAGGTCTTGTTTGTCTAAGTCTGGGATGAAGGAGAGGAAACACCATTTCTATCTTGCTACAACACTATAAATTGAGTGTTGGAGCTGAAACCCCATCTCTAAAGTTGGGTCTAGCTATTGGCTGTCAGACTTCCTTCATCCTGTATGCACCAGCCTCACATTTGCTTTGGCTGGCTTCCAGACAACTGTCTCTCCTGCCTCTCTCCCTGGTTGGTGTGAGTTGCTGGGCAAGCCTCTTTCACCACCCTCCATAGGCTGTTTCTATACTTTCTGGCCACCAGGATACTGCTTAGCACTCACTGCCTGAGCTCTTCACTGTATCTGCAGCTGGATCTGTTACTCCTTTAACTTCTTCACCACCTGTACTACCTAGTGGGGCACAGCTATTCTCCTCTATCACCCATTCACTTACTATAAATTTTTTAAAAAATTAAATTTAGTGGGTATGGGTGTGTATGGATACATATGCCATGACCCACATGTAGAGATCAGAGGACAATTTGAAGGAGTGAGTCAGTTCTCTCTTTCCATCATGTGGATCCTAGGGATTGAATTAAGGTCATCAGGTTTGGTGGCAAGCACCTTTATCCATTGAGCCGTCTTACTCTCTTTAAAATAAGATTACATTCTGTTTACCACTAGAATGTACTTTGATTTATTGTTCCATGGACCATGAATTTGAACTTTTATCCTGGTACTAAAAATTAAACAAAATCAGGGAATAAATTGATTTTATTTTAAAAGGCTTTCACTAGTAAGCTTTCACCAGTAGAAGGAAATTACCTGCTTGTTGGCTTTCAACACTGCTCTCAGTGTGGCGATCTGCTCCCGTTTGGTGCTCAGCAAGGACTTCAGCTTGAGAATCTCTTCCATTAAGGCCTCCTTGTCCTTATCAATCATGGGAGCCAACTCTCGGGCTGCTGCTCTCTGACGAGACAGCTGTAAGGACCTGTCCACCGCTTTCTGCAGGTGCTTGATTTGGTCCCGGATTATGGCATTGAGGTTGTAGATATTCATTGGCTCTTTTCGGATGTCACTTGTATCCAATACTGGAGATGATGGTGGGGCAGTAATAACAGGGGAGATTGTGGGAGTCTTAGTTGGACTTGGCTCTTTGCTGGCCTCTGTGTTTTCTTTTGAAACTGGTTCAGATGAGGTCCTTGGCTCTACTGGGGATGACACACCCCGCCTTGCTAATCTTGGAGACAGAAGCCCTCTGGGATCATCAGGCCCCTTGAGGCTTCCACTACGGGTGACTCTACTTTGCCTGTAGTAATCCAACATGACCCTGTTGGGAGTTTCATTATTACACAGACACACATGGTGGTAAAGCTGAGCAAGCTCTTCGCTAAATGTCACCAACTCATCCTGGGCTGTATTGAGGGTGTTGTGATTTTCGTTGGCTATGCCGGTCATCTTTTGCAACTCCTTCTCCATGTGGGCCATCTTTTCACCACTCTCCTTGGTAGTTTTCTCAAGACTCATCACCTGCTCATCATACATTTGAATCTTACTCTCATATTTGGTCTTTTCTTCTGTATAATTTTCTACAGATTTGTTATATTTCTCCTTTAAGGCTTTAATTTCTGCTTTCAAATCAATGACCTCAGTGACTGCCACTCTGTATTTGCATTCAAGGATTTCTAAGCCATTGATGTCCACCTCGTAGTCATGGGCCTCCTCCCCCGAGTCCCGGCCCTTCTCACCATCCAACTCAGACTTGAGTTCCTTGCTGTTCTGCAGGCCCCTCATGGCATTGACATGCTCTGTGAGTCGGTGCACCTGCTCATGCTGCTCTGTCAGTGCCCCCTTGGTGTGTTCTAGCTGGGTCTGTGACTCCTGGAGGCTGGCCAAAAGAATGGCCTTCTCCCGCTCTACCTGCAATGACAGAGGGTATTGTATGAATGATGTCAGTGAAAAGCCCATGATGAACTTAATCCATTTGGACAGGAATAAATACATTTTAAAGTACTCACAGCAGAGCCACTGTTCCCGCTGTTTCAAATTAAATTCAAATGTTTGCTTACTCAATAATTTTGATAAATCAATCTAAAAGTATCTAATTCATAATATGGTATTTGATGGAAGCCAAGCCATTTGAATTTTTCATAAAGGAAATGCAAAAATCTCCAAATAGTCTGTGGTTGGCATTATGATCTCAGTAAAAATGAATTTTAGGAGTTCTGTTTTCTTTTTCTTTCCTTAAAAACTATATTAATTCCCTCTAAAGTTTAAGCATATTTAATTAGCACAGAAACTAAAACTGTTTCCAATAGCCCTTCAGTAGAAAAATTCTTTTCCTAAAAACTAATCAAAACAAAATGCACTGAATGTGTCTCAAGTTGGCTGTAGAGGTAAAGTGTCATGGTAAGTGAGGTGATGTATTTAGAAGAACTTCTGGTCATACTCTGCCAGTTTGTACTTAATACATTTCCTAGACTCCGCCAGGATAGCACCTACAAAATCATCCAACAGAACATCGGCTTTCCACGCGTGTTCCACTTGCAGTACTGCTGTCCACACCTAATATATTTATGAAAGAATCAATTCAATAATGAGAGGTATTCAAATTTTACTCACATGTGTATGTACATAGATGCACATACTTATTCTTTTCCCCTAGACAATTAAGGTTGCTCTAATTTCAAAAAATTACTAAATTACAGATAATTTTATAAAACTCCAGCATTATATTCTGTCAGCTGTTAAAGCTTAGAACACCTTATTGTATTTGGATTTCAAAGAACAGTGGTGCTTAAACTGCTTAAGATTTATTGTGCTTCAAAGTAATAAATGCAAAAGACTTCAAAGCTTAAAATAACTACACATTTTAAGTGTCACTATTTTAATCTCCATCTGCAGAGAGCTTATCCAAAAGAGACTTGAGCTCATTATGATCTTCTGTAGCAACTATTCTCTATCTACAGTTTTGTCTGGAGCTAGGGATTTTATTTTTCTCTGAATGTTGTGCTTGTAAAATGTTTACTGTAACTATACAGTATATGATAATTATCAGTAGTGTTATCATATTCCATGGAAACTATTTTTTATTTTTCTGACAGCTTATTTTTTTAATGAATATATTTATACTTAATAAAGAAGTGAAATTCTTCTGTGAAAGGACAAAGAAAATAATCAGAATTTATGTTAGGAGAGAGGCTGTCTCTTCGGTGCACAGGGAGGGGAGGGTGAGGGATAGACTTTAAGAATGTGGATTCACCAGAGAAGGAGGACACAGAGACACCTTGAATAATTTGAGTGCTAGAAGCTTCTGGGGTGCCAAGTGCAGTTAGGGATCCCTGAGGAAGATGAGGAGGAGGACTCAGACCTGATGCTGGAGGCCTGTGCTAAGGCTGCCAACTGGATGCTAGATGTCCTCCACCTCTCTCTTAGCCCTCTCCCACAGCTCCAAGGACTTCCCCACAGAAATACCTGTGACATTGCCAATTCATGGACTATCCAGTCTTACAGCTTATCAATTAAGAACTGTATATATAGGTCAGTTTTTGACAAGAGGAAAATCCCTTGATATAGAATTTGAAAGTCAGGAACATATCATACCTTTGGAATCAGCCCTGACGATCTGGGCTTCAACCGAAAAGGAACATGACAAAGCACATGAAGAAATACAGAATTTAAGTAAAATTCAGGCTATAGATGTATGGGATTTGGGAAAATGGAGGAATCAGAAGTGTTTGAAAGACTATTTGGTGTCAAATTCTCACGGCTTTAGGAAAGGAACTGCTTAGGATAATCTCTCAGAAAGGTCTAGCCCACTCCTTTTTTCAACACTTCAGCTACAACCACATGATGGAGAAAATTAAGTTATACAAATTATGTGCTAAATGAAAAATCAACTTTCCTAATAAAGGCATCATCAAAAGTTGTAGAAAGTGAAAACACAAAACAATAACTTCTCAAGCCAAATGGTAATGAATTCTGAAACTGAAATTAATTTGAATAAAGGGAAAAATGGAAGAAAGGAAAAACAAGAACCACTAAAAGGAAGGGATTATTTATGTCAGAGAAGTAACCAGATACTGATGAAAAACAGAGACCTAGTTAAAACAGGAATGGCTTTAGAAGAGGAAAAATATTTGAGGTATGGTATGAGAAAATATGGAAAGGTGAAATGGGGCTAAAATATTGTTAACAACCAAACAAGGATTTTGTTAAAAGACAGATTGAGACCTATGAAGAAACTAAAACTAATTTGCTCAGACACTGAAGGCGGAATTTGTCAGAGTTTGGTAAAGGTACATTTTGTTTTAAAAGGTCATTGATGCATCTTAAAGTTTTTGTTTTAAGTATTATTTTTCTGTGATAGTTTAATTACTGAGCATTTGTGCTGTTGAAGTAAATTATATACCATCATTGTATATTTTTTTTGGTCTTTTGAGACAGGGTCTCCCTGTAGCCCCACCTGGAACTCACCTGGCCTGGAACTCACTATGTAGACCAGGCTGGCCTTGAACTCACAGAGATCCAGCTGCCTCTATTATATTCTTTTACAATCTTTATTTTGGCAGAAAAAAAAAAACATAGGTTGAACCCTACCAAATTCAATACTCACCTCAAATCCTGTTTTAATAAAAAAGTAAAAACATAGGGACTAGAGAAATGGCTCAGTGGTTAAGAGTGTGTACTGCTGCTCTTCCAGAGGACCAGAGTTCAAATCTCACAACTGCCTGTAACTCCAGCATTTTACTCAGATGCAAAAATTCACACACAGACATACACCTTCACACATAATTTAAAAAGTAGTAATAAAAATATTTGTAAGTAAAAACATGATCAAAGAAAAAAAGTATTTATAAAGGGGGGTGATATTTCAATTTACTTATGCTATATCTGTAGGCTAAACTCAAACTTAGAAAATGCCACATAAAATGAATTTCTTAAAGAATTGAATTATGACAGCCCTTTAATATAATTACTTGATTTATAGACTGACATACTTGTTGAAGTATTTGTTAACAGAACAATAAATATAAAAAATAATCTATGAATTTTTACATGCTTGACTTTTCCTTTCAGTGGTTTCACATAAAGAAAAGAAAAATTGTATTGGCATAGGACAGAATTTGTAGAATTAGCAAAAATAGCTTTGTGATTATCTTAAGAACAGCTTTACTTTTCAATTTTAAAATTTTAACAAAGATGGTTTAAATTAAAGCTTCTTTAGAACTGGAAAAAAAGGATTCATATTAGGACTTTCTGTTTGTCTTGTTTCATTTTGTTTTGTTGTGTTTTGTTTTGTTTATTTTGTTTTGTTGAGACAGGATCTTGATGCTGTGTATCCCCAGTGGGCCTCAAACTTGTGATACCTCTGCCTCCACCTCTTGAATGTTAAGACTAAAGGCATAAATTGAGTTCTGTAACACAAAGAGTTAAAGCTAGTTTATAAGCTATCAACTTTCTTGTTTCTTTTTTAAATAGTGTTGAAATGGATGAATTTTATTATATGTAAATTATATCTTAATATTTTATTTACTTATTTATTTTTGAGGTTTCATTATGTTACCCACCCAAATTCCTGAGTTCAAGTGATCCTCCTGTATCAGACTCCTATGTGCCACAAACCCCAGGTTAATACTGTTATTTTTCAAAACTGACAAATTATAACTGCATATACTTTGAGGCGCACAATGTGCTGTTGTGGTATTTGTACAAATTATAAGAGTAAATCAATCTATGTAACATCTCTATCAACTTACAGTTTTATGCTGTGTTAAGGACTTGGTTTATAGGCTATGTCAGTGCCAAGAGGTGGTAGAATCTTTAGGAAGTGGGGTCTTGTAGGAGAAAGTTAGATTGTTGGGGGCATGCCCTTGTAGAGGTACTGGAACTCTGGCTTGCTCTCTCTCTCTCTCTCTCTCTCTCTCTCTCTCTCTCTCTCTTTCTTCCTGGCCTCAATGAAGTGAGTGGGTCTGTGTTGGAGTATGTTAGTTTGCCTTTTAGGACACAAGATGCCCCCCTAACCCCAGGGAACCAACTACCCCTCCCTCACAGGGCTGATCACATGATTTACAGGAATTCTAGTCCTGATCAGTAAAATGAAACTATAAACCAAAACCAAAACCTAAGCTGTCTGCTCATGTATGACCTGATCATTGTGCTCTCTCCTGAATGATCATTGTACTCTCTCCTGAATGACTTTAAAACCCTATATAAGCTCGCTACTTCCTCAATAAAGTAAATCTGTGTCTCTGAACCTGGTCTCCTGTGTCTGATTGCGGCTCCGCTGACACAGCCTCCTCACCAGCCCTGGGGTCCGGGATCAGGTGGCGAGGGCAGCGACTATGAAAGTGGCACGGATGGAACAGCCTTGAACTTGTTACCCTCAAACCTCACCCTCCAGTGTACTGGCTTATAAGAGTGCCACCACACCTGGCCCATACCTTTGTCCATTCATTTATTGATAAAAACTTAGCTTCCATTTCTTAGCTACTCTAACAATACTACAATGACAATGGGAAGGCATATATTTCTTCAAAATACTGATTCCAGATTTTTTGGATACATCCCCAGAAGCAGGACTGCTAGATTATATGTTAATTCTATTTTGAGCTTTTTGAAGATTTTCCATAAACTCTTTTTTCTAGTCATTTATCACTCTACTTGACTCTTGAATTATGCAGTTTCTATAATAGGATGCGCAGTATCAATATATATAAAGAGAACTCAGAAAGAATTTATACTTCCTGCCTGAAGTGGTGTTGCCCTGACACTATGTATATGTACCCAACAACAACAAAAGCAAATAAATAAATAAAACTCTGAAAAAAATACCAACACAGAAGAAGCATTAAGTAGAGAATCCATCTGCTGTAAATGAAGAATATCTATCTTTCAAACTGAATTAAGTAGCATACAAA